TAAGTGAATAAACTGTGTCAAAGAATTGCCTAATTTAAAAACAATGGAAATTAAATTTCATGAAGGGAAAATTATGCAAAGACGGAATATTACATTTCCACGTTCCAGGTGATTTGAAACGGCTCAGTAAAGATACCTGTAGTATGATCTTTTTCAAATGAAGACTGCTGCATCGCTCTTCTTCTGTTACCAGCGATTCATCATCGAAAGCGGGGACAGATTCACACGGCGGAATACAGCCAGCCTAAATTACCTTTCGTTTTTCAGATTGAGCTTTTTTGTCAATGTGTAACCTAGCTTTAAAACATGTCTAGGTCTCGGGTGCACGTAACTGAAACTTTAGTTCGGGACAGTAACTCGGTAACCAGGCGGAGCAGGAAAAAGCATTTTTCTAAGAATGCTTGCTGTTTATGTGTTAGCCAAAAAGCGTAAAATGCTTCTGCCTTGGCAAGGGTCCTGCGTACAAGCGTATAAAATTTGCAAACTACAACACCACATTCATACTCTTATAGTATAGGCGGTTTTTCCACAGGATGGAATCATGCAAAAACGCATGAGTGCTCCAACAAACCTAATGCGCGTCAACCGGGTTTGCTTTTGTGCTCAGCATCTCTGCACTAATTTAATTGCTCTTCAGCTAGCGCTACGGCTTTTATCTCAATTTTTTCCTCAACGACTCCGTTGAAAGAAAATTATCGTTTGTTTTTAGATGGAGCTTTAGACGGACAATTTTCTTTGCATTCCTTTCTTTCAACTAGGCAATTTCCACACTCTTAAAACGAATGTAAAGTAAAGGGGACTATCTCACTGTTGGCAATTACTAAACCTCAGCTCAGGTCAGCCTGTATTGTGAAACTGCTCTAGTCCCTTAGCCAACGCTATTTCATCGCGTCGCTTGCTGGTACCGCTTGACAATTTGCCAACGGGTGCTGGTTAGCGAACCCAACATTCGGTCACCAGGTCGCATGGTTGGGGATTCTGGGTGGGGGGTTAGGACGTGGTTGACGGATGGTGGTTGGTAGGTGCTCTGGTGCGGCACCATGGGCCCGGAGTAGGGACAGAGTAGAGGAGGAGAAGGAGGGTGTTAGTTAGCAGTGCAAGACGATAAATGGTGACGGTGGTTGGGGGTGGTGGATGATGGGTGCCCAGATGCGACTCTGGAAGCAGGATTTGGAGAGAGGATAAAGAATGGGAACAAGGGTACTAGTCAGGAGTTCGAGGCAAGAACTGGGAACAATTGTAAAGAGGAAGAACCATCACAGCAGTACAAAGGAAAGTAAATTAAAGGAAATCTGAAATTACAAGAAAAAACGAAAATGAACTAAATCAAAGAATGAGGACCGATGAATAAAAACTAAAGAAAGCAAAGGCAAATAAAAATTGAGAAAGCAAAAAACAAATAAAAGGAAAAAGCATAGAACAAATAAAAAACTTAGTAAAAAGAAAAACATATGGATATAAATTGTCTTGTAAAATTCCGCCTGCAGTGCTGGGCTTCCCTATTTATGAAGCTGATGCTTAGGTAAAGCTTTGAGTTCTCAGCATTATATATTCAGCTTCATCTCATTCATTCTCAGCTTCATCTAAACATCAGCTTTATAAATGCGGAAGTCCCTTACACTGATGACGTGTTTTTCTTCTGCTTTATTTTTTTCTTTTCATTCACAGGTTCACTTTTTTTGATTTTGTTTTTATCCGTGCACCTAGCCTTGCTTTAATTTACTTTTTTTTAATAGTACTTTGTTTCCTATTTGTCTTCACTGCCGTCTCCTGTTTTTGCCTCGAGCCTCTAACTTGTATTTTCGTTCTTCTTTATTCTGTCCCCAAGTCCTGTAAAGCGACATCTGAACTCGTCCCAATTCCCACTATAAGAGCACTCTAGAAACAAGCAATATTCCAGCCCGTTTCCAACTCGGGGTATCCGCAGCAAAAACCAGTAGCACACATCTTCCTTTCCACCCATCAACCTCCTCCCCCGCTCCCTTACGTGGCCTAGCCAACCGTCAAAGGATCTACGCCACGTAGCCATTCAATCCGTACCCAAACTCTCCTCCGACTTCGAATATTTGCATATGGAATCCGTGTACACCAGCCCTCTCCACTCCCTCCCCAACCTTCTTTCTAACTGCTGCATCCAACGTTCAATGCCATAATGGAGTAAGGGCACCCCCATTTTCAAAAAAATTTTTCACTAATCGTGTATGGCGCCGGTTGAGCCGAGGTTTAATTGTCTTCCTGTTCCCTCCATCATCTTCCTATCTGCAGTCTTAATGTGTCACTAGTTAATGATGAAACTGTAACCCTCTTGGTATTTTTGATACCGTCAGCAAATTCATGGATAATAAAATACAGCCTAGGCTAGAACACAGTAGGCGGACCGCTGTGATCATGCGTTTTAGCACCATTTCGTGCTGTAGCAAGATCGCAAGGAATCGCAGTAGCTAGAATTTATGATATATTGGCCCTCTAAGTTCAGGAAGTTATTTTACAGCTATGTGGCATGTCAATTGTAGATATCAGCTCCAGTGACCCAACAAATGGAAGGTTCCTAGTGCGCAAAAAAGACCCCACTGGAAGACTTGAATTTGAAATCTTTTAGTCGCACATGAGTAGGAAGTATCCCCTTAAAATTCCAGCCTTCCAGCTTTTCCCGTTTCCGAGTTAACAATTTTCTCGCCAAAACCTTCGCGTGCCCATACCTGAATCACGGGCAGATCTAAGCAGCTGAATTTGAAGTCTTTAGATCGTACATTAGTGTTGAACATTTTCCTAAAGTTTCAGCTTTCTAGCTTTCCCCGTTCTCGAGTGAGCAGTTTTCCCGCCAGAACTTTTACATGCCCTTACGTGAGACGTGGGCGTGCGTGACAGCTGAATCACATTCCAGGGGTAGCAAAATTTCAGTATCGAAGCTTCTGTGGTTGGCGAATAGAAATACTCGGAGAAACTAACATACACACACATACACAGGCAGGGTCGTCGCAATATGCGTTTCTGCCGCCTACTGCAGTGCTGTAGTGCTGCACGACAAAAATGCACAAAAAAGGCGACCGGCCGTACTGACATGAGAAATCATTCAATTCTAAAGGAAAACTGGGCGGAGTGGACTAGAAAGGGTTCCTAAGAGCACCAACGCAGTTACCAGGAAGAAAACAAACGGTCAATTTGACGGTTTCCGAGGAGCTGCTATGCAACTATTGAACAGACGTTAGGTAATAATTAGTTCGAGATACACAGCTCGAGGCCGAAGAACTTGGCGTAGCTGACGTGCAACTGCATCCTTGTTAAACCGCTAACTTCGGATCTTCATGTCGATTGTCCAGACGGTCTTGATAGTCGTGGTAAAATTACCATCATTAGAGATCTAGTTAAAACATAAAACAGTTTGCTAATGCGCTTTCCGCAAAAAAGCTGTTGCTACTTCTACCGAAATTTTCGAAGGTCCTTCAAATAAATCCCTACTTTGAAACCAAATGGAATACAAAGTGCGCTTCATCTACGTGCTGATAAACTGATTTTGACTGAAAGCAGGCTACGCGAAAGAAAGAACTATTCACACCAGCTTCTGCCACGTACGCCATTTCTCCATCATAATCGTTTGCCAGTACGTTCGATGTTTGCTGTTCGATGCTGGTTGTTCCAAGATATCCGTTATATTTCTGGTAATAATCTCCAACGCTTGGAATACTGTTTTGATAAAAACCCGTATTTTGGTAGCTCACACTTCGCGGTTGCTGTGGTGGCGGAAGTACTTGCACTCTGTGCACCGATGCTTCCGTACTTTTTGAACTGGGAGGTGGGGGAAGACGATCAGCTGTCAATTCTGTTCCAATTAGCGTCTCTGACTTTGCGGAATTCAGACCTGACAGGTGTTGCTGATTATCATACAGGTTCTCTTCAGCGCCTGGAGCACCAGAAGACTGCATTATCCTGAAATAGCATCGG